CCGCCCTGCCCTTAATTTCGAAAGGTGCCACTTTTTTTTAATACTATATTTGTAACAAAAATAATAAAATAATAATAACAATAAGATTCCATACATTTAATTGGCGGCTATATAAACATGGACTTGGGAGACAGAGAGTTTCATCAACACGACCACCTTTTACTTCCCACTGCTGGGCTGAGCACCGACTTGTGATTTAAAAATTCTTCTTTAGCTAGCTAGCTAGATGGAAATCAAAGACTACACCCACGACGGCACAGTGGATGTTCATGGCCGCCCTGTTCTTGCCTCCACAACTGGAAAGTGGAAAGCTTGCTCCTTTCTTCTGGGTATGCATTTCCTTCCTATTCACATGGAAAATTAATTTAAGTATCCAACCCAACCCAACCCTATTGTTGATTAAGTTGCTAGAAAATTGCAGGCAGGGTGTATATATATATATATATATATGGAGTTAGAATAGAAATTTAATTAGTAGAATTAATTTTTGCTAATTTAATTGACAAACCAACAGCTTATGAAGCGTTTGAAGGGATGGCCTTCTATGGAATATATAGCTTCAAATTTGGTAAATTATCTGACCACCCAACTTCACGAAGACACAGTTTCATCAGTCGAGGAATGTGAATAACTGGTCTGGATCAGTGTGGATTACGCCAATTCTGGGTGCCTACATAGCCGATTCTTACTTGGGTCGGTTTTGGACCTTTACGATCTCATCCCTCATCTATGTCATGGTTGGTAACTCTCTCTTATTGCCGTATGTATAATTTCCTTCTCCTCGTCTAGTACTTGTGCTCGTATATGTTTGTTTGTTTTTAACTCTGTAAGAAAATTAATTAATTAATCAATTGTGGATGGTAGAAGGCATATTTTTTTTTTTATCTTAATTGTATAATGGAAGGTAAATTTTTCATTTTTTATTTTATTTTACTTGCATATTATACGATTTAAATTTAAAATTTTTTTATTTTTAATAAAAAAAATTATTATTAAATTATTTAAATATTGATAAAACACACTATTTTTTTCTTATACTATCAGCGTGAAATGTGAGTTTAGTTGCGTATCCCGCCAGCAGGTTACACCATATGTGGGGACCATATTCCCAGATACCTAACTCTAGAAGGTCAATTGGGTTGTGTAATTTTGCTCTAGTGGGAGTGGGACCAATAATTGAGTAGCTAGTTTTTGGTATATATTTTTCAGCCACTAGTGTTTTTCATCATCTCCACAAATCATATTTTCTCATTTGCACTTAATTTTTTGGAAAACGATTCTCAACGAGATTGAAAAAGACGTATCTGTGTACTATCCCATTCAAAATTTACCGTCACTAGGGAGTTTCTAGGCATTGGTTAATTAATATCACAAAGTGTTCGTTTAATTTAATGTAATGGTGAGATACTGTACCTCAGCTCACACGTGCACACACTACTACATTTTTTGTAGCCTATATATCTATTAATTAATTTGATTAATTATATTTGTTTGTGTAATTTTGAATTAACAGGGAATGATACTACTCACAACAGCAGTTTCACTCAAGTCTTTGAAGCCCAGTTGCCAAAATGGAGTCTGCAACAAGGCTTCTACTTTGCAGATTGCATTCTTCTACTCATCTCTCTACACCATAGCAATAGGGTCAGGGGGTACAAAGCCTAATATATCCACCTTTGGTGCTGACCAGTTTGATGATTTTGATCCACATGAGAAAGAGCTCAAAGTCTCATTCTTCAATTGGTGGATGTTTAGTGCTTTCTTGGGTGCTTTATTTGCCACTCTTGGACTTGTCTACATTCAAGAGAACTTGGGATGGGGCTTGGGTTATGGTATCCCCACAGTTGGTCTTCTTTTCTCCTTACTTGTCTTCTACTTTGGGATCCCATTTTACAGGCACAAAGTTAGAAAGACAAACAGTCCTGCAAGAGACCTCATTCAAGTCCTCATTACAGCCTTTAGAAATAGAAAGCTTCAGCTCCCTAACAGCCCTTCACATCTTCATGAGCTTCAGCTGCAACACTACATTCACACTGGAAAACGCCAGGTCCATCACACTCCAGTTTTCAGGTGACCTGTCCCTCTCACTTCTACTATGATATATAATTAATTAATTAGAGGTCTGATTAGTTTTTAATTATTTACCTATAAATAAATTCAACGCTTCAAGCTGACTAATTATAATAAAATCATTGAGGCAAGGAATCTAAGTATTTTGTAAGGATTCCAAAGTGCTTTCAACTCTTGGTGGGAAGAGTAGGTGCAAGGTGGACCTATATTCATGTGCATAACTAGGAAATTTACCTTGCCAAAGAAAAAATTGGGGCTTTCTCTGGGATTTGATAGCCACTCGCTGACTAAATTCTTTCCATTCGCAAAGTTTAAAATACTGCTTTTAGGTACAACTTTAGTGGATGATCTTGATATATCTCCTCTCAGTCTTTGGTCAAGTTGTTTCTGATATATTGAGTGTAGTGTTGGGCCTAAAATGCTCCCCACAGTATCAAATCCAGACAAATAATTTGTGAAACACGTTGCGTTTGAATATTCCTTCATTTCATTGGAGTAGCAACTCTTAAGGCTTGAAAATGACTTGAATTATAGTAATTAATATTAGCTAGTGCTTATGATGCAATCATTAGCCACTAGTAAAACATATTCGTAGTGGTGTCTTCAAGATAATGTATTGATTTCTTTGTCTGCTGGATATTAAACAAAATAAAAACTAGTGATGAACGACTAAGTGCAGAAAGAAGTTACATCGTTGTTCACAGGTTCCTTGACAAGGCTGCAGTAAAAGATGCCTCAAGGCCACCGTGCACCATAACTCAAGTGGAAGGGACCAAGCTTGTTCTCGGGATGCTACTGATATGGGTGGTGACCTTGATTCCTAGCACAATATGGGCACAAATCAACACTCTTTTTGTCAAACAGGGCACCACATTGGACAGAAGGCTAGGCTCAAACTTCCAAATTCCAGCAGCATCGCTTGGAAGCTTCGTGACCCTGTCCATGCTCCTCTCTGTGCCAACATATGATCGCTATTTCATGCCCTTGATGCGCAAGAAAACAGGAAATCCTAGAGGCATATCCCTTCTTCAAAGGCTAGGCATTGGATTTGTGATCCAAAGCATAGCTGTTGGGATTGCATATGTTGTGGAGGTCCGGAGGAGGCATGTGATAAGAGTACACCATATAGTAGGGCCTCAAGACGTAGTGCCTATGAGCATATTCTGGCTGCTGCCTCAATACGTCCTGATTGGAGTGGCTGATGTGTTTAATGCCATTGGATTGTTGGAATTCTTTTATGATCAGTCCCCAGAGGAGATGCAAAGCCTGGGCACAACATTCTTCACCAGTGGAATTGGAATTGGGAACTTCCTGAATAGCTTCCTGGTGACAATGGTGGACAAAATTACAGGGAGGGGAGCACACAAGAGCTGGATTGGTGACAACTTGAATGACAGTCACTTGGACTACTATTATGGATTCCTTTTGGTGATATCTACCCTGAATTTAGGGGCCTTCTTTTGGGCATCAAGTAAGTATGAGTACAAGAGGGAAACCAATAAAGTAGTAGATGGGGGTTGTATTTTAGGGGCCTTCTTTTGGGCATCAAGTAAGTATGAGTACAAGAGGGAAACCAATAAAGTAGTAGATGGGGGTTGTATTCAAATTCAAATGGAGGGTAAGACCTTGGAAACATCCCCCCTCGGGTAAAAAGTATGAAAACTAATTAATAAAAAATATGTATATCTATGAATAATGCATGTATGTATTTAGTATCCTTTAAAATCTTCAATTCTCTTTAAGTGAGGGATGAAGTTATTATTTTTATCTAAGCATGACTTAAGTTGTAATAATAATTTTTACTATCCTTATCCTCCTGATGAATGAATCATCATCACTCATTAATCTCCTATTGAACTAATTAAGACATGTTAACAAACATCTAAAATATGTACCAAAAAAAAACAAACATCTAAAATGATGGCCAAATATTCTCTCTCTCTCTCTCTCTAACACATAAAACATTTTGAACCCCATATACAAGAAAAGTAAGGAGGCCCAAAAAGGTCTACGATTAGGCTCTGAACTATTGACTGTGGATTAGGGCAGGTGGGAATTGCAAATTTGCAGGAACCCAACCAGACATGCTGTTTGGGTCCAGGCCCAAGAAAGAAGACAATTAGACCGTTGACTCTTGCCTTGGAGATGGGGATTCCGAGTTTCCGACAACCGACACGGAATCAATGCCTGATTTTATTTTGATTCCTTTCTCATTTGTGGTCACACACAATACACATCCCCTTTTTAGTTAGTAGGCTACCAACCACGAAGAAAATTAATTTTATCAAAATTCAAAGCCCTTGTCACATTTCTTTTTCTCTTTTTGTCAATAATTTTTTGTTTGGAAAAAGTCAGAGCGTACATACGAAATTGTTTCAACCCTTTCGTCCAATGAGAATTGTGGACTTCGTGGCAAAAGTTGAGTTCAAGGAATATTTACTTACCATATACTTTCAAATTTTCAAAAGTATATTTCAATAATTAAAATTTTAAATTTAAATCTAAAATCAAGTAAAAATAATTTTTTTAAAAATATTTATTTTTATATAATTTATCAATATTGTATATATAATTTAAAAAATCATAATATTTTGATGTTAGTGTGTCCCATCATAGATGTCTATTACATAAATTTTAGTCAAAAATTATCTTGATAAATGATTATAATAAATATCTTGACAGCAAAACACTCTGAAGGTCAATTTTTTTTATAATTAAATAAATAAGAAATACAGCTTTCCATTTATTTGTGGACGCAACATCATGTCAACATGCCGGTTTGATATTTTCTTCTCACCGCTAAAGGTTAAGATAAGACAAAATAATTGCACCAATAAACGGTATGGCCCGAAGCACGTGTGGAGGCCATAGGTCTTTAATTATAGCCAATGGAAATGCATGATGGAATTTAACCAAACAT